CAGTAAGAAGCACCATGGTGTACTTTTTTTTTTTTTTTTGAGAAAACCAGATGCTTGCAAACCACATACCGTTTTGTGTCTTGTTTTTTTCTCCCATTTATTCTATCTTAGTTATCATTCTGTATCAATATATTTAGAGCTGTTTCCTTCATAACAACTACATAGTATTGCTTTGTATCTTAGGTATTCCAGTTTCCTTCTATTTTCTTTCTTCCTTCTCTGTCTTTCTTTCCCCAGCCACCCCTTTCTTCCTTCCCCCCTTCCTTTCAGTCTTTCCTTCTCTTATGTTCCTGCTCTCCCCCCTGCCTTTTCAATTAAGTAATCCAATTCAGACAACAGTACTGTGCTAGATACTAGGAGGATCTTTACCTGGGACTTAATCTTTATTTTGAAAGAGTAAAGATTTATACTAGCTATGTTTTAGACACAGGTTGTTTTACAGAAGGAATTAGGTTCCTTCTGTGTAAGAACATGTGTTTTAAGACCTTTTGTTTCTAACCTTTTGCTTGAAATTTTCCAGAGGGAATTTTTTTTTTAGTTCAGCATTTTGAATTAGATTTGGCATATTTCTATTTATTTATTTATTTATTTATTAACTTTTTTATTGAAATATAGTTTATACACAATATTATATTTGTTTCAGGTATAAAACATAGTGATCTTCCTCTGTTTTTATAGGTCTTAGTTCATGACCTGATTTTCTTCCAGTGGTATTTATAATTTATTTAACAGTTCCCTGTAAATGGACATTTGGATTATACATACATTCTTGTCTGTATTTTTTCAGTATATTATTAAACGCATGTGCAAATATATTTGAAGGATAACAATCTAGAAGTAGAATTGCTGGGTAAAGAGTACAGGTGACCCTTGACCAACACAGGTTTGAACTGCTTGGGTCCACTTAACATGTGGAATTTTTTCAGTAAACCTTGGAAAATTTTTTGGAGGTTTGTGACAATTTGAAAGAACATTTTCTTTTTCTTAAGTTTACCTTATTGTAAGAATACAGTATGTAATACGTATAACATATGGATTATGTGTTAATTGACTATGTTACTGGTAAGGCTTCAGGTCAATAGTAGGCTATTAGTTAAATTTTTGGAGAGTCAAAAGTTGTACCAACTGAGCAGGTGGTAGGCATCCCTAATCCCCCACATTGCTCAAGGGTCAACTGTATATGCATGTACAAAGTTGATAGATATTGCCAAATTATCCATTATAGTAGTGAAGCTGATTTACACCACCACAACCAACATACAGATGCCTTTTTTCCAATATTGTATTATTAAACTATTGAACTTTATTAGTCTTAATGGAAAAGGGGAAATCTGATTACAGTTTTAATTGGCATTTATCTCATGTGTGATTGAACATCTTTTTAATATGTTTGAGCCATTTGTATTTATTTTCTATCAACATGTCCTTTTTATGTTTTCCTACTGAGTTTCTAATTTTTTTCTTACTGATTTGTACGTATTTTTATGTATTAAAAGCACACTTGTGATTTTTGATGTGACTGCTTTTTCTGTTTTGTTTTGGCATTTGTCAAAAAAGAATTGTCTTATTTCTTATGATAGCTTTTCATCAACTTCATTGTCATACATGTATAAATATTTTATTTTTTAAGGTGAAATTTATTCATCTTTTATGGCTTTGGGTTTCATCTTATTCTCAGAAAGGCATTCCTACCCTTGAGATTATTAAAACAAAAACAAACCCTACCTTTTCTTCGGATACTTCGGGATTCTTTTAAAAAATTTTGGCATTTGTTTTCATGTGATAAATATTTTCCATATGGCTGCCCATCAACATTTAATGGATAATTCACATTTTCCCCAATGATATTTAATGTCACTTTTAGCTTACACTAAATTCCTGTATGAATTTGGGTTTGTTTTTGGATCGCCTGTATCATAGTTGTCTGTTCATGCATCAATACCACTTTTTAAGTGACAATAGAATTATGTTTTCAAATATTTTAAGGCTTTTAAATAATTTGTTTATTCTTACTTATTTTTCTATATGTACTTTAGAATCATGTATGATTTTTAAAAACGTTGGTATTTTAATTGGGCTTGCACAATTTTTAAAGATAAGAGAGAAAGAAAATCATTATAATGCAGAATTGTTTTTGACAACATAACTGGTTTCTTATTAGTTCAAGTAATTTTTTGTGTCCCAAAATAGCATTTAAAATGTAATATTCTTTGCGTAGTCTTTTTTTTTCCTTGAAAGACTTATTCTAATAATCTTATTTTTTGTATAATCATAAGTGGGATTATTTTCTATCATATCTAACAAGTTGTTTTTACAGTAGTTCATGGGTTTCAATTTACTATTTTTATATGCAGCTACTTTACTAAAATTTCTCTATTTTTTGTAATAGTTCATAGTTTATTTGCTTGGATTTTTCAGGTATTCACTTAAGTCATTTGTAAATAATTTTATTTCCTCTTTTCAGTTTTTAACTTCTTTCTTTCTTGTTTAATGACATTGGCCACCACCTTCAGAACAGTGTTAAATATTTGCAGTGAAAAATGGAAATCCTTATTTTGTTCCTGATGGTCAGTACTAGGGTTTTTCCATTATGCATAATGCTGGCTTTGACTTGAACTTTTTGTATGTTTATCATATTACGGAAGTTGCCATAGTTTTTTTATTTCCCAAAATTAAAAAAAACACTTTTAATCTCATACTGACAGAAAAGTTGCAAGAGCGTATAAAATTTTTTCTGGAACTGTTTGAGGGCAAGTTGCCAGCCAATCTGATGGCCCATTGCCTCCCACTAAATACTGTAATGTTTGTTTCCTATAAACAAGTACTATCCTGTGTTTTTATCCTATGTGGTTACATATAACCACCAAAAAAAAGGAAATTAACAGTGATATATTACTACCTACTACCATCTAATTCTTAGACCCCCATTTATGTTTCATCAGTTACCTCAGTAATATCCTTTGGCAGCCAAATCCAGTCCAGAATCATGCATTGCATTTGGTTTTTGTGTCTTTTTTAGTCTCCTTCAATCTGAAACAGTCTTTCCTCGACTTACGACTTGACATTTTTGAAGATTATAAGAAAGTTAATGTAAAATGTCCCTCAGTTTTAATTTGCCTGATGTTTCCTTATGATTGACTTCAGGTTATGCATCTTTGGCAGAAATATCACAAAGGTATTTTATAATCACCAAGGAATGTTACAGATATTCCTATTATTCCTTTTTTGTTTGCCTTTTCCAGGCAACTCCATCTTCTCTGTAATCTTTCTCTTAAACAATTATGGGTCTTTTATTTTTATTAAATATTTAACCACTCTAGTATATAAGTTGATATTAGGATAAAGAAGCAAGGATACTGGGAACAGAAGGAGTAGTTGGTTGGTGGATAGGGGAGTAAGTTACAGTAAAAGACTTTCGAGTGTTGCGATGTTTCAGAATCATTCAGGGCCAGTGATGGTAGCAGAAATACAAAACTAGCCAAAGAAATGGAGAAATAAATTAATAATTGATTTTGTTATTACTTTCATTATATGATTTTACTGATTATATTGTTTTATTAAAGAGTATATAGAATTCTGTGCCAACACCTTGTTTGGCCAAACAGGTTGGGCTGTCATATCCTTTTGGCAAGACATTCATTTCTGTCAGCTTCAAATGCATGTGTTATTATTCATTTTATATAAAATAATGATCTCATTGCAGAATATATCATTTCAATAGCTTTCATGACCATTAAGTATGAATATTGTAGATATTTGATACCTTTTCCTTTGACAATTGAATTGTTTTTAGACTATTTTTTATTTCAATGATAAAAACAGGGCTTTCAGTTGCAGTGTAATTTTAGAATGAGAAAAACATAACATTATCTACATCTTGAAAGTTCTAACAAGCTTAGTGAGTTGGATTTTATGTTCATTATGGTACTGAAAAAAGAGAACTGGGTGTCAGACTAAGTAGAAGTAAGTTTAATGGCACATTCACTAAACCTTAGCTGGACAATCCACAGCTTCTTAGGGATGTGGTAAGGTCTTCATTAAATATAAGTTCTTGTTTGCTTAGATGGAAGCCCTGTGAAAATACAAATAGTATTATTATCTAATAGAAATGGGAGGGTAAAGCATGTGGGAATAGTGAAATTGATAGCTGTCCTTGAGGGCCCTTAAATAGACCCCCTGCCCTATTCATAGTGATTTTGTGAGTTACTTTAGTTAGTATTTGTGACATAGTGTCAGTTCTTTAAATGAAAGACACTAAGTTCCACAAATATCTTTTAATTATTCTAGAGAGCTGCTCTCTCCTAGACAGATGTTTTATGAAAACAAGAGTTAAAACAGCTTGTTTCATGTTAAAATGTTAAAATGTTTATTCTTCGTAATTTTTGGTGAGGCCAGGAACCTACCATTGCCATTATCTTTGATTTTTCTGTTTCCAACTTTCACTTTCTTTTTTTCCTGCATATTATATCTAAAGAGGGTGGGTTTATAAGGTGGGGATTGAGAAAAGACAGTTTTTTATTGTTTGTAGGGGAGGTCCAGGATAAAACCTCTCAGGACAAGGAATCCATCATAGGATTTAAATATTTGGTGAATCTCTGAGAACTCTTACTTTGCAATGGTATTATAAGAACTCATGATTGTACTTTTCTCCCTTCCCCAAGAAAAGCTGCCTCAATGCCTTAAAACAAATATTTGAGCACTTTGCTTGTGTCCACATTTTTATATATTGTTTTAGATTATAGACTCTTAGAGGATATGGACTACATGTTGTAACATCCCTAGTCTGAAGTAAAATGCATATATAGATGTCCTTAAAAAAAAACATTTTTTTCCCCTTGCAATCAATGCCTTGCTATATACTTACATACTTTGTGACAGATATGTAAAGGAACAATTTTTACATCAAATTGTTCTATCTTCCAAAGGTTCTTTCTTTTAACTGAGTTTTTAAAAAAATTATTTGGTCTAAACTGAGTTTTGTCTTCCTTTTCCCTACTCAGGCCCAGATTGCTTTCCTTCAGGGGGAAAGGAAAGGTCAAGAAAATTTGAAGAAGGACCTTGTGAGAAGGATCAAAATGCTGGAGTATGCTCTCAAACAGGAAAGGTAATTCAGTACAGTGGAAGATAGTGTTCTCTTAAATATTGAAATAATTTTTCTGGCATTCCTAAAACAAATCCAAATTTAATGCATTACAATTTTGAATTCAGGAAATAGTATTTGTAATAAACATTTACAAATGGCTATAGTATGCTAATTTAATTTTATTATAAATTTTTAATAACAACCAATAAACTGATTTATATGATTTAAAAAATTTCGGCAACATTTTTTTCCCTCTCTCCTGTTTCAAGAAAATTACATACTTGCTGCATTATCAGTATCCATTTCTTTATGGAATTAAAATTGTTTTTTTAATTGTAAAGGAAATTTTTATAATGCTTATTCCCTTTTCTTGTCATCTAATATTATTCAATTTGATGTATTTTCTTTGTAATAAAACTGCTCTGGCAGACTACATAAATAATTTTTTATGGACTTCTTTGGTTTGTTCCTTTTCTATCAGCTGTTCCTGTCTTTGCAGAGGTTAATCTTACCTTTCTATTTCTTTAGTGTCTAAGAGACGTAAGTAACTAGGACATTAGATCATAGTTGAGAGTCTTGGAAGTTTTCATATGAATTAAGTTTATTTGCTTTAACAGATGGTCTTTGGGTTTTTTGGCCAGCAATGTGAGACAGTTCTTTGTTTTACATAATTGAACTTGATAAGTGAAATTGAAATTCTAGTTTGCTTCATTTTTGGTCACATGCTTTTCATTTTTTAAAAAAAATTGTTGAGTGGATTGTTTGCAAGATAACCATAAAATAACATTTGGCAGATATTTATGAATATCAGGAATTTAGGTAAAATTTTATTCCAACTTGTATTTACCTTCATGTGGCACAAAAGATTGAAAACAGGTTGACCTCTTAGTGAAAAATCGGTTGGTGCTTTTCATTCCTTGAGAGGTTCATTGAAATCTGTATTAGGGAAATGGGGGAAAAAACACTCTTTAAAGTATGTAATTTGGGAATATTTGAGATATTAAACAATCTAAATCATAGGTGTAAAAAGAGAGAGTAATAACATTGGTAATGGCAACTATTAATTAACTGTTATGTCCCAGCCCCTGAGGCTTAACAACTAATAACTTAGGTAGTAGAGAGTTGCAGAGTTATAGTAGAGCTGTGATTTAGTTCTCTCAGGTCTTTCTGATTCTGAAGCCTGTATTCTTTACCAGTAATACTAAAGTAACCAAGGGTAGTGTGTGTGTGTGTGTGTGTGTGTGTGTGTGTGTGTGTGTGTTCCTTCTTATTAAACATGTTTAGTAATATATCCATCCAACTTAAGTACTGTGCTTTAGCTGAGTATAAACATAGGTCACAGTTCTTGCCCTTAAGGGCTTAGAGTAGTGGGAAACAGACTTGTAAATCACAAAGTACAGTGCAGTATGATAGGTGCTATGGGAGAAGTCTGTCCAGGGTACAGTGGGACATAAAGAAGGGAGTGGTTGTTTGAATCTGGAAGGTAGAAGTAGAAAGGAGAGCATAATTAGAGGAGGTGAGACTTGAACAGCATCATAAAAAAAAATAAGGTATTTGCTAGATAGACATGGCTCAGGAAGTGGAGAGGATGTGTTTTAACATGGAACATTGCAGTTTGGTGTGTTCAGAAATTCGTGATCACTTTGTGTGAAGGTTAGGTTGTTAGTTGTGATTTGACAAGCAATAATTGTAGAGGTGGGTAAGAGCCAGATCATGGAGAGCCTAAGGAGTTCAAATTTTATTTTACATATAATGTAATATGGAGCATTGAAAGTTTTTAAAAAGCTTTTCATTCTAAAATAATCTCAAACTAATAGAAGTTGCAAGAACTATGTACCCTTTATACAAATTCCTCAATTGACATTTTGCTATATTTACTTTTGCCATGCTTACTCTCTGTACACATACTGTTTTTTCCCTCAATCATTTGCTACTTAGTTGCAAACATTATATATTCTTTTCCCATTAAATACCTCAGTGTATATTCTAAGAGCAGAGCATTCCCTTATATAATTATAGCTCATTATCAAATTAAGGTAATTTAATATTGATATAGTTCTGTTATCTAATAAGGCTTATATTCATATTTCCCAACTGTCATGTTTACAGCATGTTTTTTTTCCCACCAAATGCCCCAGTAATGATCTTTATAGTGTTTTTTTTCCTGGTCCAGGATCTAGTCTAGGAAATTTCATTGCATTTAGTTGTCATGCAGTTGAAAGTTTTAAGCACGGAATAGTGTGAAATAGATTTTAGAAAGATCACCTTGATCTCATTATGGAAGATAGACTGGAAAAATCTGTTAGTAGAGGCAGGAAGATTGTAATAGTCTAGGATGAGAAATGGTAACATAAGTAGCTACTGGAAGGAGGAGGCACCAACTGAAACATTTTAAATAGAATCTAAAAAATTTGCAAATGATTGGGTGTAGGGGATGAGGAAGAAAGATAACTCAGGAGTGATTGCTAGGTTTCTGGCTTGAGTGAAATTTTTGGAAGTTATTGAAGGAGATGAAGATAACTAAGGGTTGAAAAGTCAATATGGTGGGCATAGGGGGTGGGACTCATGACTAGAGATATATACTTGGGGAATCATCAATATTGTGGTTAAAATTGAAAGGCGTAGTTGAAACAAGCAGAACAAATATTGTGGGAAGAGAAGAGAGAACTAGCAGGAGCCACAGGAAATGGAAATGTTTGAGGAAAAGGCAGAGGAAGAAGAGCCAACAAAAGAATGGTTAGAGAAGAAACGAGACAGCAGTATATTGGCATCAAGCTAAAGAAGGTGGGAATTGGACAATTGCAGATGCCAACTGAACTCCCAGTAAGTTGTACACTGAAAATAGTCACTTGGGTTTGCCTGTTAGGAGCTTGTTAGTATCTTGCCAGAATAGTTTAGAGGTAGCAGCAATATAAGCCAGATCACTTGGCCTGAGGAGTGAGAAAGATAGATAAAGTAGAGGCAGATACAGTCACTTATTTTTCCAAGTAGTTCGACTTTGAAGAACAGAAGTGATAAAGAGCTGGTTGGGTGTAGAGAAGTTTTTTTGTTTTTTTGTTTTTTGTTTTTAACTAATAGGATTCTCATGGAAGAGTCCCTGAAGTTCATGGAATAATTTGAGATTATTCCTGATGTAATGGCACTATTTAATAAATAAGGAATAAAAAAGTATTTTTTCTTTGTGGTTTAGAGCTCTTACACATTTCAGAACTTGGAAATTATTTTTCTAATGCTTTAATGCAAGGAATTTAAAATATTTTTGAAGCTCTAGAACATTTCAGTTCTTTTGATTCTGAAATTATTTTTCTAATGCCTTAAACCAGGAATGTTTTAAAAGATTTTTTTTTTTTTTAGGAGAGCAAGGTACAGGCTTTTATTTAGAAATAAAGTGAGAGAATAGAGCTCCTGGCTCACCCCAGGAGGGGACAAGAGAGCCCATAGTGGTGTATTGTCTAGGGGGTTTTAGGCAATTGAGGATTTTTTCGAGAACATGAAAAAAACTTAGGGGTGTGAACTTGCATCACCTGCCCTGTACTCAAGGTGGGCTGGGTGATAGTCTGATTGATAGGGCGGACAGTGGAGTCACAGTTATGCTGATACCCTTGCACAACACTCAAACATTCCAGGCCAAGTTGCTTCTGGTCTTTTGACCTTTAACTGATCTCACTGAAGATGTCTGTATTCTTAGGTATCTTTCCCTAGAGAATCAGTGTGACCTTTACTTTGCATAATGCTTAGCACAGAGTTTCAGTAGGGACTTCTTTGCCCATTGTTATATTGCTCTGACTGTAAATGTTCCTCCCTGCTTTTCCCAGAGGCCCTCACCCTACTCTGACTACACCCACCGTCCCTGTCTCATTCTCCCCTCTACAGATGGAGACCCCTAGCTGCTGCTAGGGAAAGGGGGCGATGATTGCTCTGGCTTCTTCATGCTGAGAAGGGGCGCAGTAAAGGGTGCAGTTACGTCTCCATCAGTGGTCATTTGAGAGGGCTTCGGAAGACAGGCACTTCTATTCCTGGTTCCATTTCTATTACTATTTGCAGTTTTGTGGCTTCTAGGCAAGAGAACAAATTGTATTATTAGGTTTAGTAGCAACATCTGGAGTTGGATTTTCCATTTTGGATCAATTTGACCAGATTAAGAATGCATGGCTGAATATGAGGATAGAAATAGTAAAACTTTAATTTAAGTGATGGGAGAAAACTAAAATATCTAGAGAATCATAGCCAGATATTTTGAAGAAACTAGAATTCTGGATCTAGTTTATGTCCCAAAATGACTAGTATTAGGATTTATTATAGGTAAGGCTGCATTATTGAAAAAATACTTTTCTCTAAAATCACCCTCATTTTTATTAGAAGTAACCAGATTAAGAAAATAATTAACACTTGGGTTTATTATTTGCATAAGTGCAGCAAGACGAGCAATTGATTATATAGGCTCTTTTAAATGTGCTTTGCTGGAACTTTTTGTAAGGAATTTCAGATTGGACTTTTAAAGGCCTCTTGAGGCCAGAAAGCCAAGCCAGACTTGCCATCAGGTTGTGCCTGCAGTACCTGTAGATTTGGGCAAATTCCTCTCTTCTTGAGGTTCTCAAGACCTTTCTGAGGTTCCTGCCCCTGCCAGGAAGTGACCTTCCTTACTCACCTGGTAAGGCTGCTGGGAACCCTCTAAGCAAGGTACCAGGCCAGTTCTTCTAAGGGGTTTTGTTGTCTTTATAAAGTCAACCGTAGTTCCTTAAAGCTGTCTGTTCATATCTGAGTTTATGCACGTGTTTCTCAGGTATGACATTACAGTTAAAGCCTTGGTAATATAACCATTGTTTTTAATTGGTCTTCTTACAAGGAAAGCAGATTCTTATTGAACTTGTGCAAATAAACATACCGCCATGAAATATAAAAATTGTCACTGAGAGTTTTTAAATTCTGGAGGGATCAGGTAGAAAGAAATGTTTCAATTCTGCTTACAAAGTTATTGTCATTTACTAAACTGTTGTCAGCTTAAGAAAAAGCTTAAAACA